AGTCCACATACGTGGTCCAGACTTGTGCTTTTCTGCACACTTGAGTCTATATATTTATTGAAAATGATGTCCTTTTCAACCGGAAGACCGCAGTCTCCGTGGTTAGCGCCATGGACGTCTGCTGACGAGCCGGAGCCGCAGCGGCCGGGGCTTCCCTGTAGCTGTGACCCCCCCCCCCCCCCCAGCCCCTGGGGCGGCCCTCGTCCGCGCTCTGGCCTCGTTTTCTTTGTATGCACACTTAGGTATGTGGAAGATGCATCGAAAATAGCTCCATCTGAAATACAAGCTGCAGAGCCCGAACTCTGGTTCGCGGAGAGCGGAAGCCCGACTGTCAGAGGAGGTCGTTACTGACGCGCTGTTGTGCGCTTGGCTTACGGAGGTGCAGCTGGTCCTGTTGGCATCAACAGGCATCGTACGTTTTTAGAATTCACTTGCAGCGTTTGTATTTTGAAGTATACACGAAATCTCCTGCTTTATCACTCAGTCCCATCCGGGTCAGACAAAAGGGCAGCTTTAACAGTGGTTTTTTCAACAGACCACATTATCAAGTAATTGCAAAAATGGCATGGTCTACGAGGTCGTGGGTGGGCGCCGAGTCTGGGTACGGAGTGGACAGCTACACTGGCCGTTTGTGATTCTCAGTGCCCGCTGCTGGTTGGAAGAAACCAGAGGACGGGCAGCTCCGTGTGGGAGCAGGGCCGCGCGTCAGGGCCCAGCCAGCCAGAACCGCGCCGTGGAATGTGCTCCTTCGCAAGTTTCCCCGAAACAGTACTGGTCTGTCCTAAAACCCACTGCCAATTTTAGAAAAACAGTCCAGGCCACGGTAAGCATCTTCTGTTCCCCGGGAGAGCCGGCCCCGCCCCGGGCTTCCCGCACGGCTGCCCGCACACCGACGTCCAGAACCGCAGGCCTTGGGGCTCTTCTGGGGCGTGTGTGATTGTCGGAACACCCCGAGAGTTCTCGATGATCTGCACACAGGACACAAGGACCGTTCAGACATTCCCACGTGGGCGAGAGGCGCGGATGTCCAGGAAGGCCCCACAACACCTGGACTCCAGGGACTTGGGGAAAAAAAAAAAAATGGAACTGATGGTGGGTTAGTGAAAACTTAGGATCATCTAGAAGGTTAGTCTATGTTTTAACTTCGTGACTTATTGGTGCAAAAACACCATGGCAGCCATTACGCTCCGACCCTATTCCTGCTTATTCTCCTCCCCAAGTGTGCACCTGGTGCCCGGCGCCTTGCTGCCCAGTGGGCGGGCGTGACTGTTCTGGTACAATCCTGTGTAACCGGCAAGTATGGACTGAAAGGGTGGCTTCGTTTTCTTGTAATCTTGCTAGTTTCAAGATTGGAAAATGGCGTATTTGCTCTGATATGTTTGGGAAGACAAAATAAAGTTACTTTGGGCAGAGTTTCTTTTTCTCTTTTATAAATTCTTGTTCAAAGTAGAGCATGTTTTGTGAGAACACATATACCCATTTTTTTTTAAAGATTTTATTTATTTATTTGACACAAAGAGAGATAGAGGGAACATAAGCAGGGGGAGCGGCAGAGGGAGAGAGAGAGGAAGAAGCAGGCTCCCCACCGAGCAGGGAGCCTGATGCGGGACTCGATCCTGGGACTCCAGGATCATGATCTGAGCCGAAGGCAGCCGCTCAACGGACTGAGCCACCCAGGCGCTCCATATGCACATTTTTTTTTTTAATTTTTTGGAGAGCAAGCAGGTGCATGTGAGCAGGGGGAGAGGGAGAATCCCAGGCAGACTCCCCGCTGAGCACGGAGCCCAGCCAACCACAGGCTCGATCCCACAACCCTGATATCATGACCTGAGCCGAAATCAAGAGTCCGATGCCCAACCGACCGAGCCACCCAGGTGCTCCCACCTTTGTAACAACTGAAAGAACAAGAATAAAACGAACGATGTGTAGCTACCACCCAGACCAAGACACAGAACTTCACCCTAAAGTCCCTGTGTTCCCCTTGTGGGGGGACCCCCGTTTCCAGTGTACCATTCCCTTGTTTATCCACGTGAGGGGGGTCAGAACAGCTTACCCTGAAATAGGCCACTTTGGCATAAGGATTGTTTTGAGCTGCAGACCGTCAAGGAGCAGCAAATGCAGGAGGCACCCTCTGCCCCCCCCACCCCGTCTGCTGAAAAGGACGTGAACTTCCCCTTGAGAAGGCATGTCTTCCTCTCACGCCAGGAGCTGAACCGCCTCTACCACTGGGACGGTCGGCGCCGAGATGGGTCTGCACAACCCTTAACCTTCCCTCACTTCCCCACATGAAATTACCCAATAAAGTCCTGTTACCTTAGAAGCCCAAACACCTTTTCCTTCGTCTTGTCACGTCTTGATGAATTTGCCCTTTTGTTAAAATGGTGCATAAACCCCAGGGTCTAACTGCTTCTTCGGGTCTTCCGATCTTTTTCTATAAATGTCTCCATGTACAAAAAATAAGCTATTAGCATCAAATAATTGTTTGCCTTTTCTCCTGTTCGCCTGCCTGCTTACTCGGCGGGCCACAGCCCCCGAGCCCAAGCAGGCACAAGAAAGGTGCTTTCTTTCCCTACACACTTACAGTCCCTGCAACGTCTTATTCCGCAGGTTTTGCTCTTCACCTGAAAGGAGTCACACTGTGTGTCATCTTCTGGAACTTGCTTCTTAATTCTGCATGTCTGAGAAGACATTTCCATCATGAAGCTGAACTTTCCAGTCTAGGAACACTGCATACATTCCCACTTAATAAGTCCTCACTCAGGTCTTTCGAATAGTTTTTTTTTATTTAAGTATTTTATTTATTTGACAGAGAGAGAGAGACAGCGAGAGAGGGAACACAAGCCGGGGGAGTGGGAGAGGGAGAAGCAGGCTTCCCGCCGAGCAGGGAGCCCGATGCGGGGCTCGATCCCAGGACCCTGGGTTCACGACCCGAGCTGAAGGCAGACGCTTAACGACTGAGCCACCCAAGTGGTTTTATAATTTTCCCACAATCTCTGAATTGTTCAGCTATATTCTTAAAAACTGTATTTTGGGACTATTCTAAAATTTTTTTGTTTTTACATAGGAATGTGATTTTTAAAATTTTTTTAGTGTATCATCTGGTATCCAGAAAGCATGCCTCTTACTATGAAAACTTACCCATATGGGACGCCTGGGTGGCTCAGTTGGTGAAGGGTCTGCCTTCGGCTCAGGTCATGGTCCCGGGGTCCTGGGATTGAACCCCATGTCAGGGTTCTGCCGGGGTCTGCTTCTCTCCCCCCCCGCCCCCTCCCCTGTCCCCATTTGTGCTCTCTCTGTCAAATAAATAAAATCTTTAAAAAAACACCTTACTTCCAGATCTGGGGGTTTTCTACTGTACCATCATCTGCAAGTAGGAATAGTTGAGTAGCTCCCTTTAGGACCTTACCCATTTCGTGCCCCGTCTGTGCCAGCGAGCGCGGACTCCCAGTACAGAAGGGACGACAGTGTCTCTAAAGGAGCGGGGCCCAGGGTGCCCGCCCCCCACCTCTGCCGCCCGTGTGCTGGGAGCCCCGCACCCCCGGCACGATGCCAGCCCGTGATGGAGGAGGTGCCGGGACCCTGCAGGAGAGGGGGCTTCCCAGCTCCAGCGTGTGGCGGGGGCAGATTTCAGCAGCCGGCCAGAGGCTCGGTCTCCCCAAGTACCATAGGCCACCAAGGCGCCTCCTTTGGTTTCACAGACGCCCCAGGGGGAAGCCAAGAGCTTCAGCTGTCGGACTGCTGTAAACACACAAACTAAAATATACAGACTGCCAACAATACCGATTCTACCGAAATACAGTCCCCAAGTAGTTCTTACAATAGCAATTAGACTTATTTGTGCTACTTTACTGACACATTAAATAATAATACAGGCAAACCGGGAGCCCCATCAGCAAGGGTGGGCAGGGAGGGGCCCGTGCTGCCCACGCCCTGGGCTCCGACCCCTCCTCACCCGTATCCATCCCCAGAGCAGGCGTCCCCGCAGGGCCAGGAGCTCGCACGCCTGTCCTCTGGGGCTGTGCCGCAGAGGGGCTTGTCATCAGGAGAGTCGGGGTGGGGGGTGCAGCAGTCCCGAGAGTGTTCACCGGGTGCCCGGTCCCCCAGGGACCACTGGCCGGTCACAGCAACGTCCCAGCCCCTAGGACGGTGCCTGCAGTGGATGGGTGGATGGACGGATGGATAGATAGATGAAAAGACCAACGGAGGGATGGATGAGCAGGTGGGTGGATGCAGGATACAAAGGCCACACCTCTGAGCGCAGGGCTGGCCCACCAGACCTGGTTTCTGTTCAGCTCCAGCTCACTTCGTGGGACCTGGGTGGGGCTCCCGTGGGCTCAGGGTGCAGGAGGCTGGGTGCGCTTAGCTGTGCCCAGCTCAGCTCCACACAGGACTGGTGGTTTCAGATGTCAGCGGGGTTCCTGCATCCCTGTCCGCACTGTCGGTGTCTGGACCGGCTGAGCCACAAGTGCCACCAGGGACCCCTCTGCCCAGACCCCAGGGGGAGGGCTGCAGGTAGCACCTGGTCCCAGAGATGCCCACCACTCCCAGGGGAGTCATGCCCAGGTGGGGCCAGGACCTGCACCCCAACCCCGAGAACCCTTTTCCAGGCTCCTCCATATCCCGGCAGAGTGATGGTCCCACTGCCTGGCCACCCAGCGCCAGGCCCTGGATGACCCAACCTGGCCCTCCAGTCTTCGGGAACCGGGGCCCCTGCCTCCCCTCGATGTCCATGCCCCCCACCCCCTTCATGGCCCCGCCCCACAGCCCGCCTCCCCGGCACCCACCTCACCCCTCACCCAGACAGCTTTGGAGCCCAAAGCCCCGCTACCCTCCAGCCCTGGCAGCCGCGGGGGTCGTGGGCCACCCGAGGGGTGCCCGCCTGCCCCACTCAGCTGCGTGCGATGCACAGGGGCCCCGCCCTGGAGGCCGAGCGCCCCCACCCTCCCTGAGCACAAAGCATTTCAGGTTTATTTAAATAAAAATTATAATTTATACAAGACTTCTTTAAACAAACAAAGTTTTCTTTAAAAAATGTTACGGGGGTTTTTCATCGGTTCTTCATACAGTACAATCCTTTTGTTGAACAAAAGTGACAGCAGGAACGATTATTTACAGATCCAAAATAGACTCAAGCTTCGGACATAAAAAATGTGACATTCATTCTAGTTCAGTGATTAGTCATAGAAATTAAATATCTGCCCAGATTTACACAATTTGATAGAAACTCCGGGCTCTCTCTGCCGGGCCGCCGGGAGCCCGTGTGGGCCGCGCTCTCCCCAAGGGCCCGGCCACTGGCGCACGACCCCCCAGGGCCCCCGCGGCCGCGCCCCGCACGTGGTCAGTTTTCATCTCCCTTTCTCCTCAAAAGGGACTCGAACCAAACCACCCGCTCTGCTGAGGAGGGCGAGCCCCACCACACCGACCCCTTGGCGGGCCCAGGGAGGGGTCTGAGTGGCACCCACAGGCGTCACCCTGAAGCCTGTCCCCAGGGGCCGCTCAGGGCCCACCCCGCCTCGCCTCAGGCACCGAGGGAGGGTCCCCGGGGGTGCCTCGGGAGCCGGTCCGCCTGCGCCCACGGTGGGAGCCAAAGCCGAGACTTAGAGTGGGTTCTGCCTTCAGTTTGACGGAAGGCCGGCCCGTGGGATCTCGCGAACAGCAGCGCCAGCCGGACCGGGGTGGTGGGAGCCGCAGGCGCCCTCCGATCTCACCGACCGGGTGGGGTGTGTGCTTCATCAGGCTGGTCGGCGCAGCTCCCCAGGAGCGCGGCCCGGGCCCTGGCGTGCGGCCCCCATGGCCCCCCGTGAATGGGGACGTGAGCGATGCCACCAGACTCACCCAAACCAGCAAATTAGCATTGGAGCCAAGGTAAAAATTACATCTGAAAAATGATACAAAAATAAGAAAAACAGCTTGCTCTCTGTAAAAAATAGAATCTTCTGTTTCTTCAAAAAACAACAATCTCCGTGATGCCCAAAGGACTCAGGACAAGCCGAGGAACTGGACTGATGGAGTTGGAAGTGTGCTGACCAGGAGGGCGGTCACGCTGACCACCACAATCTCAGCCTGTCCTTCACAGAGGTCACAGGCCTGTCCCCAAGTGAACCCAGCCTGCAGATGGCAGCCTCCGGCCTCGGCCACAAGCGCGCTGGCGTCCTGGGCGGGGCCCAGACTGGTGCTGGGCGCAGGGAGGGGGGCGGCTCGCTCCCACCCCGGGGTGTGCTGGCACGAGGGTGAGCCTGCCAGGACCCTGTCAGACGTCAGGGGTGCGGACCGTCCGGCCCCAAGCCTCTGGGCTCCGCTCACGGTCACTCCCCGCAGCCGGTGACCTCCCGAGCAACCCCCCGCACAGCAACCACGGCAGACCGGCCGCAAGCCTGGCCCACCCTGTGTCCGGGCCGCTCCCACCCCAGGCCGCAGGGCCCCCTCCCTCACCAACACAGGTGGCTTCTGCCGTGAGGCCGGCGCCAGCCATGCTGCGGTTGATTTCCATCTGAGAGCAACCCAAGCTCAGAGTGCCCCCCAAAGCCTTGGTAGATGGTCTACGGGGCTTTCCAAAGAGCAGAGTGTGAAAAAGATGTGCTTCTGCCTGCGTGCCACTCCACGGCCACGGGGGCCACCGACCCCGGGCCTCCTGGCGGCTCGGGAGGCCGAGACGGCCACTGGCCTTCGTGGCAGGTGGGGCCCCGCGGCCGGTCAGCACGGAGCCTAAGCCAGATCAAGCCGCGCCCCTGCCCCGGGCCCCCCTCTGACGACTCGCAGCAGGCCTCGCTAGCAGAAGGAGCGAGACCCACTGGCCAGTTCAGGGTGGTGGGCGAAGGCGCCTCTGAGTCGCTCATCACCGACATCCTTCACACCCGGGAAGAGGGACCACCGGTGCTCCTCGGCTACAGCTTCGGGGTGGAGGAGCTTCGGCCTCTGGGGCGGGCGGGTCCTGTGTGTCCTCCTTTCCGCTGGCCTCCGAGGATCCCCTGCCCTCCGTGTCCATGTGTCCGTGAGACACGCCTCACCCGTGAGATGGGCGGGCACCGCCTGAGGGCCCCAACCCCTGCGTGAAGGGGTCCGTGAATCGCGGGGTGAACACAATAAAAACCACAGATCGAGGGGAATTATTGCAAAAGATCAGGAGGATGTCCAATTGTTTTTCCACTATCAAATTGTTTAAAAAAAACAACAAAAAAACCAAAACCAAAACAAAACCCTTCCAGCATCGTCCCGGGAGAATCAACACTAGCTGTCGCTGCCAGATGCCGCGGCCGCCGTGATTTTCATGTACTGGCTGAAAATGGTCTCGAACGCCTCGTCTCTATGCACCATGGCCCCGAACACCAGTGGCTGGCGGGTGGAGATGCCGTGGGTGACCCCGCGCAGCCAGGCTGGCATGAGGACTAGACGCCCCGACACGCGGGCCTTGCCTGGCCCCAGGCCAGGTCCGAGCGGAGCCCCACAGGGTCTGGTGCCCAAGGGCAGACCCCTCCCCCCACGGAGGCCAGGCCCCCCCGGCCCCACCCACCTCCCCGCGGGCCTCAGCCCCGAACCTGACCCGGACGTGCAGTGGCAGGAGGCTCCGGTGGCCACAGTGAAGGAAAGAGGAAGCGAGGGGGCCCCTTGGGTCCCCAGCCGGTCGGTGGCTCCACGTGCCCCAGGGATTTACAGCCACACCCCTGGACCACCCTGCCATCTCCCCAGCTTCCTGCCCAGCACTTACTTTCTGGGTTGATGGCGTTGACACCGCGATCCCCATGCCTGAGCCCGGGAGGACAGAGAGGACCTTGTACTGAGGGACGACAGCGCACGGTCAGCCTGGGCCCCTCCCAGGATCAGGGCCAGGCCTGTCCCCAGGCCCCAGGGCATTCTCCCAGGGGCCCACGGAGCCCAGCCTTCCTGAGCACGACAGGACGGACTGACTTCCTGACCAAGAGACCAGACCTGCCCCCTTCCCCATCCCACCCTCTCCCAGCAGGCCCGAGTGGGACGGGGTCTCCCTGAGGGGCAGTGTGTGTGTGGGGGGGGGCGCCTCCTGTCCTAACGGCTGCACATCTCTCTGTGGGGGGAGCTGGGGCCCACCCCCGGCCCGGGCTAGCCTGTACCCCAGACGCTCAGACCCTGGAGGCGGGGGGCAGGTGGGCCCGGCCACCCTTGCCCAAGTGTGTGTGCCAGGCCCTCGTTTGGGTACTGCACATGCCCTGCCCACTCCACGTGACCACACTCGAGGAACACTGGCTGAGGACACGCCCGCGGTGGGGGGAGCATCTCAGGGCCGAGGGGTGGATACACAGTGATAAGGGGGCCCAGGCGCCTGGCCGGGCCCACCTTGCTGTGCTCCCCCCTCCCCCCTTCCCCCCTGTGGGAAGGCACCTGGCGCTGACCCGTGAGGATGTGGGGTGGCCCGTGGTACATGGACACGAATGGGAGCCAGTGTCTACATGGAAACCTTCTAGAAGGGGAGCCCTGACGTGGGTACCCCAATGTCTCCGAATAGCATCACTCCCTCACTGTGAACATATCTGACTTCCAACTGAAGCCCATCAGCTTCGTGGCCCTCTGGCCTCTCTCCTCCGGAATCCTAAAGGGGTAACGGAGAACGGCGGGGGCCCATACTGACCTTCTGGATGTCTGTGATGTCCACCAGCTTGATGACCTTGTTTCTCTTGGAAGAACCGGATTTGGAGCTTTCGAAGCACAAGTAACTACGAGGGGAGAAAGGAGAGAGGCATGATCCAGACACGGCACAGGGACGCCCGCCCGGGCTGCGGCCACCACGGTCCCCCCGTGGGGCGGGCGGCGACCCCAAGCAGAGAGCCCCTCCCACCTGGCACCACGCACTGGCTTTTTACAAAAGATTTCACTCTGAGAGAGAGTTTTATCGCTTCTAGAGCTGACTCCACGGTCTACACCGCATCTGACTCGTGTTCGCAGCGTCACGCATCCTGGGGCGTCCAGCGAGAGCCGGGACCGTCCCTGAGGCCCGTCCCTTCGGCAGGAGCGGCACGGAGGCACTCACTTCTCCGTCACGTACAGAACGCCGTTGCGGATGTAGTCGGTGGGCATCTTGCGGTCGCGGTTTATCAGGCAGCAGCGCCAGCCATTCTCACACACTAGTGGGGACAGAGGCGACCCATCAGCCCGGGCTCCTCAGGGATGCACCAACACGCTCCCCACCCCCCGATAAAGCCCGCGGGAGGAAGACAGGCGCCCTCTGCCTTCCTGGAGAGCTGGGGTTTGCTCCGGCGCGTGAGTCGGCGGGGACTTTCGTCCCCTTGAAGGAGAAGCACACGGCTCAGGTTGTGCAAATGGATCGAACCGCGGCCATGACGGGGATGCATTTGCACGCCCTCGGTCAGCAGGATGGGGGGCGGGACGAGGTCAAAGCTTAGCTCTCTGCGGCTTCCTTCTGCGGCCTGCCAGGCGGTTCGAAGAGCCCAGCTCCCTGGGCACCCAGCTGCCGTCCACCAGGTCAAGGCTGGGGTGCGCAGGGGCCGCACCTGCTTGTGCGAGGCCCCAGCTGGGGAGCAGCTCTGAGCCGCGCTCTGCGGGACCCTCTGAATTCCTGCAGCTCAACCATCCATTGCGGAAGGATGGGACCCCCGAGCGGCCCAGGAGCACCTGGCTCCTCCCGCCGCCTGCCAAGAGCCCTCCCGGGCCCCCAAGGCTGGCCCCTGCCGCCGGGCCCAGCACGGGGGCGAACTCCCCACCCGGCCAGGGCGGGCCACAGACTCTGCGCACACGTACCCGGCAGCGGTCGCTCGTTTTCCGTCAAGTTAAAGATCTCGTGGAAATTGCCTTTCTTGGTACCGTGGAAGCGGCCAGTGTCTTCATCCTTGTTGAGGCTGGCGGGCGCGCTGGAGACGTAGCTCCGAGAGGAGGCCGTCTGTAGCTGCCAAGAGCATGCGTGTCGCCGTCAGCCACGCCAGCTGGGGGTGGGGGGCACAGGGACCTACGCGGCCCCCCACCCCCTCGCCCAACTGTACACATAGACGAGCGACAGGCACGGATGCCCAGATGTGGGGTGCAGACCCCTACGAGCCCCTGCCGGGGGCCGCTCCTCACCCCGCAACCCCCGCTTCCTCGGGGCAGGGAAGCCCCACAGCAGAGGGGAGGGCCCCTCTTCCCCCAGCAGCGTCCCCACTCCAAAAGGCCATGCCGGAGCCTGCACCCTGGCACACGCAGTCCAGACCCCGGGCCGCCAGGCGCTCGGCACAGAGGCCATTCCTGGCATTTCCGAAATCGGAACTGGCCGGGGGATGGGCCACGGAAAGCGACATTGGAAGGTCAGGGTCACAACACAGCAACGCACAGCATCAGGTCCCCGTGGAGGAGGGGCTTCCACACAGACCTCCTACCTTGTCATGGCCTGACACCTGACCAGAGAGGAGACAACAGACACACGCGTGACCAAGACAAGCAAAAAGTGGGTCCACGTGGCGTGAGCTACACACACACAGTGGCTGAGCCGAGCTGCAAGCACACACCCCTTGGCTGGGTTTCCCTCGCCCCCCGCCCCCCGCCCCCCGGGAAGCCCACGGCCTCGCTCCCCTTCACTGTCTCTCCGGAGACTGGCCAGCGCTAAGTGGCCTTAAGGCCCCGGAAGGCCCTGTCCCGGCCACCCCTCCCACGCCCTCAGGGAGGCAGGCTGCCCACCTCTGCGCCTCCTCCCTTGGGCCCACCTCCACCTGCGTGACCGGAGCCCGCCTGCTGGCTCACAAAGACCCTGATGATGAGTGTGGGCTTCCAATAAGCTTTGTTGTCCCGGAACCTGGGGAGCCTGACCCACACCTGACCCAGAGCTTCCCTCCCATCACCGGTCACTGGACACCCTCTCCCCAGACGACACTCACTCAACACAGCAATCTAACGTCACCTCCTTCAGGAAGCCTTCCTAGACCTCCCCAAGAGTCCTACGGGACCCAGAACCTCCCGCGCTCATCTGAGACCCTGAGGAGAACACCTAGGCCAGCTTGTCCTCTGTGTCCGGGTTTGGGACCCAAGGCCCGGTACCCACCCACAAAGGCCTTCCACCATGAATAAAATACAGGCCTAGTACCAGCCTGTGGGCACGAGGTAGGCCTGAGCCTCAGAGCCAGGGAACAGAGGGCCGGACGGTAGCTCCCAGGGCTCCCTCCTCAAGGCCCCCAAGCTCTGGGCGGTCATGGCCAGCACCCCGCGCCCTGCCTGCCCTTGGCCTGGGCGCCAGCATGGCCCGGGCAAGTCCGTGGGAGGGTCTGAGGGGCCTTGAGGCGGGAGGGGGCCTCCAGCCCCGCTTGTAAGCACTGCACGGCCTTCCCCAGTGGCCACCTTGCGCCCGGGGCTGCTGGGCCCTCCAGAACAGCAGTGCCAGGAGCGGGGAAATCCTCGCCGCACTGTGTCTGTTTCAAGGGCCCCACAAAATCGGAAAGACACCAGCTTCCCCGTGCACCGGGAGGGGCACGCGCGGGCCTGGGGGCCGCTGCCCCAGCCTGAGGCCAGCCTACCCGGCGTGACACGGTGGCGCTAGAGCGCTCTTTGAGCTGCGGGTCCGTGGGCAGGCTCCTCCAGATGATGTAGGGGGTGTCGTATTTGGCTCGTAGTCTCGGGCAGCGTTTGAAGATAAAGTCGATGAGGAAAAACTTGATCCCAGCGTAGAGTCCTGGGGACAAGAGCAACAGTCCTGTCCTGGCCAGGGCACACGGCCAGCCTCTCCAAACCCAGATGTGGCCAGCGCAGGGCAGGGGAAGCAGGAGGGCGAGGCGACCCAGCCAACGGGGGGGTCCACTTACGTGTCTCACCACCCAGGACCCTCAGGTGGCTCCCGTTGATCACACCACCTCGCAAACAAGCCCGCCACTTACCACCCCCCAAGGGTGACATGAAGGAAAGCGTGAGAGACCCACCCCCAGCCTGCTGCCCTCTGACCTGATGGGCCGGCAGCCGTCACAGCCGGGGGCCCCCCTCCAACCCTGGGTCAGAGACCTCGTGTGCCGGCCCGGGCCCCCGGGAGAAACAGGATGAGGGCATTTCACTTTGGTTGGTGTCAGTCCTTTCCCTCAAGGCCACGCTGTCTGCCAGCCCACTTGTCCTGGCAAGGCATGCAGGGGGAGGGCCAACGAGAGACCGAAGCCCCAGCTGCATGCTGGGGCTGGTGGGCAAGTGGGGACGGCCCCCACACTGTGCGACCCCCGAGCACAAGGTCCCAGCTCAGATTAGCCCTCCACCCTCGCCCCCACCCGTGCAGTCCCCTGTGCCCGCTCCAGGCTGGGGACACTGAGGCCCCACAGTGGGTCATTGCTCGGGGTCTGGCCTGGGGAGGAAGGTGCAGCTTCCTGGGTTAGACGGCTGAGTGGGTTGGGGCAGCCACAGGACCATGGCCTTGGCCTCAGGGCAGCCTCCATACCTGCTCACACCTTCTCCCTATCCTGCAGAAGCCCCAGACAGGGGTTCGGTACAGCGCTTCCACGAACCCATGGGGGAGTTCAAGTCATCCTGCCACCCCATGGTTTGAAATACAGGCAAAGGCCACGTCCCGCACATTCAGACCTGTGGCCCGTGGCTCCCTGAATTCTGCATGCTCCCCACCCCAGAATTAGCTCTGAACACCCCATCTCCAGTCTGCCCCTCCCACTCCCTGGTGGCCCCGGATGGCAACATCACCTACCAGCCCTTCGGGGCAAACCCTGGGCCCTCCGACCGTCTGGTCCATCCACGACTGTGGGGGGTCGGGCTCCAACCACAACCCAGGGCCCCACCAGGGCCCCACAACCCCACCCACCGACCTGCCTCACGCCCCTCACTGCCCTGCCCACTCCACCCCGACCAAGGGCTGTTCCTGACCTGCCCAAAGCAGACTCCGCAAACCTCACCCTCTGCTTGGACCTCACCCCGCAGAATCGAGGCCACCGCCCCCCATGACATCTCCACCCCTACGTCACTCCTCCCGCGACCTGACCCCTCACGACCCGAGCTGGCTGACCGCCGCCCATACCCAACGCCTACCAGCCCCTCTGCTCAGTGGGCAAGCGGGGAGTCTCTTGGAAGCAGAGGATGAGCTTGTCGTAAGCGTGTGCTAAGCTGGCCTCCGGATGCCTGTGCATCTGCGGACGCTCTGCTGGGAAGCAGGCCGGGACCCCCGCCTCACCCCCTCACCTGTGTGGCAGCCCTGACCCGGGGCAAGGCGCCTCCTTACCCACGGCCAGTCCCACCAGGCGGTAGGGGAAGAAGCAGGAGGCGAGGAAGGCGGCCCACAGCGCGACGTACAGCTTCTGCGTGATCTCAGGCTGGACCCACATGAACAGGCTGGAAGGGAGAGGGGGGCTCAGCTGGGGACGGGGCCGCACCCCTGACACCGCGGGCTGGGGGGCCGAGGACTTACTTCTTGATCTTCTCCAGGATGTCGGCCATCTTGCCGAAGAGGTTCTGTGTGGAGAAACTGCGGTCACCGCAGGCCCCGGGGCCACGGCCCACACGGGGACGACGTCAGGGGGCCAGAGTTGCCGCCCCCGTGAGGCCACAGCCGGGGTGGGGGGGCACAGAGCCCCGCCGTCCCGCCCAGCCACTCGCAGGCTGAGAGCGGGGTGGTGGGTCCCCGCGAAGCGCAGGGAACCGCACGGACGCTGGACCCGGGCCGTGTCCCTCCCAGCAGCTGGCTCGCCCCGGCTCGGCGGGTCTCCCCACCCTCCAGGGTGCCGGCCGACAGCCTAGACCCTCCCGCCAATCGGGCTGTCCTGGGTGCTGCCAAGGGATCGATGGGCAGGCTGATGGCCGGTCAGCTGACAAGAGACAAGCCAGGCCTGGGGTTTGGGGGGCAGGGCTGGCACAGAGACGTCCCCAGGCCGGAGCCCAAGAGCAGCACCTGGGCTTTCTGGGCGACATCCAGCACGAGCTGGAACTTCTCAGACACAGTCAAGTCTTCCTTTGGAGGCTCCTGCAACCAAAGGGGAGAGAGAATTTCCACCACAATTTAGCAGCCCAGAGGCCTTGCAGCCCCAGGAGCAGGTCGCTCTGCTGCCCCCCCCCCCCACAGCAGGGGCCGGCTGTCCCAGAGGACGCCGCCCTGGTGCCCGAGAGGGTGGGCGGGCAGTGGCAGCCCCCAAGCCAGCAGGGAGTCGCGCTTCGACGGCTCATCTGCAAAGGTGCGTCCAAGACCACGTAGCCCTCCACCCCTCGCTTTGCATGGAGGGAAACTGAGGCAAAAGGGGGCCGTGACCTCCCCCTGTTTGTCTGAGTTCATTCAACAAGAACCTCCCGAGGGCCTCCTAGATGCTGGGGCCCAGCAGATCGCAGCTTGCTGATCCCTGCGCTACTCATCCTCTGGTCCGGGAGGCCCCCGGGTGCCCCCCCTGCGGCATATCATCCCCACTGGGAGGGGTGAGGACAGGCCGGGGCACGGCAACCTGCCTCCCTTGCAGCCAAGCCGGGGCCAGCAAGGGGCGCTGGGGGTGTCGGCTGGCAGGGGGTCAGAGTGTGGCCACCCAGGGCTCTGTGCTGGGGGCGGCTGGCCTTCTGCTCCCTGACTCCATTTGCCAGGCAGGGCTCCCCCAGGCATCCACCCAGCTGCATCTGGACGCTCGGGGAAGCTGACCGGGTGGACATGGAGACCTTCGCCCTCCCAGGACTTACCACTGGTTCAGAGACTTCAGGCACGATGCTCCACTGTATCCTCCAGCCCCTGTAAGGAGACCATCACACGCCTTTCACAGAGGGACGACATCGAATCCCCAGCCCTGTGCCCCCGACGGGAAGGAGCGTGGGACAGAAGGGGCTTCAGAACCCCTCTGCAGCCAAGACCTCCAGGGCCGCTCCCTGGTTCTTGAGGATGGACAGTTCAAGGTCACCCTCACGGGCCCCTCCCCTGGGGGCCCAGAGGTGGAACAGATAGGTCTTTCAAAAGAACTCAGTGAAATAGTAATAGCAAGTACTTTGGCTAGAATCACACCTGGTCTGGGCACAGATGACCCTTTCCTGGGTATGTAAAGATATTCTTCCCTACAAAAAACATTTCCAAATGAACCAACTTAAGCAGGCAGAGAGATGCACCCAGGAAAACTGTATGTGAAAGTGTGAACTGTGGAACAGCTGGGTACAAATCGGACTGCAGGAGGGGCGCCTGGGCGGCTCAGTTAAGTGTCTGTCTTCAGTTCAGGTCATGATCTCAGGGTCCTGGGATCCAGCCCCATGTCGGGCTCCCTGCTCAGTGGGAGTCTGCTTCTCCCTCTGCCTCTGCCCCTTCCCCTGCTTATGCTCATTCTCTAATAAGTAAATAAATAAAATCTTAAAAAAAAAAAAAATCGGACTGCAGGGGCCCTCCTCAGGCCTGCCGTGGGGCCGAGGTTCGCTGCTGGTGCAGCCAAAGGTGCAGACCGACCAGGCAGCTGGGGACGAGGGTTTCTCCACAGAGGCCCCCGGAGGGTGCTCACAGAGCACGCAGAGGATGCTCCTTGGGCTTGGTGATTGCAAGGACCCTCCCTCTGAACCCCAGGGCCTCCCAGGGCACAAAGACTCTGCAGGCCCAGCAAGCCGGGGATGTCATCGGCAAACAGGAGCGGCTGGGGTGACCCCCTGAAGGTGCACGTGGGCCTCTGAGACAAAGAGCCGCTGGGGGGTCTGATGACCACCCACTGCTGGCTCCCGCAGACCAGTGGGGGTGGGCATCCTCCTGGGGGCTTGGGAGCCTAGCCTATCAGACAACCGCTCCCCAAACCCCCGTGTGAGAGGCAGCCCCGGCTCAGGCGTGCCGCGGCTTTGTGTATCGTAGGGAGACAGCCCTGCCACGTAAGCAGCTCACCTACCTGGCTATGAGGTAATTGAGGGATAACCTCAAAATTGCTAGAAACAAGAACATGGGGATGGCCCAGCCATGCCACACGGCATTCATGTACACCTGCGGGTTTGGAGAGAAAGCCAGGGGGAGAGAGACAGTCAGGCAGCCTGACAGGCCACATCCTGCCCCCTTGCCCTCTCCCCCTTGCCCCCCGCCCCACCAGGCAGGCCAGCCATGCTGGGAGGTGGGGAGCCCAGGCCCCCAGCGTCCTCCCAAAGGAGGGAACGCATGACAGAGAAGCCCTGGGAGGAGCTGCTTTGGGGGTGTAGGGAGGGGGGCGCCCCAGGGAGGCAGCCACTGGATGTGGCCTGGGACGGGCAGAGGAGAGCAGAGGCCCCCTGCCAGCCCCGGGGGTCGCTCCCCCGTGTTGGGGCCCGCAGCACCACCAGGACTCAGCACAGCCGAGCGAGGTGACCGACCGCCGGCCGAGAACCCCCTACGTGCTGTGTGCCAGGCCCAGTGCGGCTCGGGCCCCTTCACTCTGGGCCCACCAGCCTGGCACAGAGCAAATGCTCAGAAAGGGGCAGAGAAGGGAATGCAGTGGGATTCAGGCAGAGGCCTGGAAGGTGGGTTTGAATGGTGGGCACATCCCTTGGCAATGATAGGCAGGACCCAGGTACCCCAGGCCTCAGGGAGCAGAGGGTTCCTGAAGGGTGAAGGTGGGGCCTCCAGGGCGAAGGCAGGGCCTTGGGGTGAAAGTGGGGCCTCAGGGTGAGGGCGGGGCCCCGGGGTGAAGGCGGGGCTGGGGCCTGGCCACTGAGTCCTGCTCTCTCTATGTGTATGCAAAATGCCCGTCTCCTCCCCGGGGCTGGAGCCAGCCTGTGGGCTCTAAGGTGGTCTCAGAACCTCCAGAATGCAGAGATGGGGACTTTGGGAGCTGCGGCCACCCCCCTCTGGCCTCGGGGCCTGGCAGGCAGGTGGGCGACCTGTGTCCTCCTTCCAGTGACGAGAGGGTCTCCTTGTGCGGGGCTGGGGACGGCGCCAGGGGACCATTCAGGCCAAGCAGCCCTGTCCGTCTTCCCCGGAACACACCCCGATGCCAGGCACTGCTCTCCCACCCTTCCCCAGGACTGCTGGCTCGCAGAGGCTCAGCTCGGCCCCCAGGCCACAGGGCGTTTGCCAGGAGCCTCCCCCAGGCACCCAGTGGGAGGAGCGCGGGGCCCCCCTGGGCAGACAAGCCTCCCCACGGTCCTCTTCCTGACTCATCCAGAAAGGTGACTGAAGCGCGGACAGAGGCCTCTTCCTGAGAACGCTGCCATGGGGCTGTCTGTGTGCAGACACGGGCTGGCCCCTGGCGCCCCCAGTGCCCTCGCCTGATCCTTGCAGCAACCCCGGGGCTGGGTAGCGACACGGTACCCACTTTCCAGACAGAAGCTAAGGCGCGTGTGTCCCTGGGAAATGGCAGGGTACCCGGGGGCGCTCACAGTGAAGGCGATGGCAGACGTGTAGATGGAGTACCAGTCGGATAAGGCAGAGAGGTTCTTCACGAAGCTGGTGACGGGCTTGGCACCACGCTCTGGGGACAGAACAGACCGCGATGAAGCCAGAGCTCGGGCACACCCGGAGGGCGGGGGGCAGCAGTGGGGGTGGGGGGGAGGCGCCAAACCAGCAAAGGGAGCCCCGAACGACTCAGGCTCCTCATGTGCCTGACCCTCTGCTGGTGCTCTCCGGCCACGCCGGGTGCTGCGCGCTGTCCACCGTCCCCGCGGGGACACACCAGCTACCTGATTCCTGGCCCTCATGCCTGAGCCGCAGACATAAGAAAGGGGCAACCGGGGGGGGGGGGGCATGGTTCCTCGGCATCGCCTGGGCTCCAGCAAATATCTGGGAAAGCACCACCTTTCACGGGGGCTCCCAGGCCTGGAGGGAAACTGAGCCCCCCACTCAGGGCCGGGCGGGCAGCGCTGGCCCCATCCTGTCCTGCTCCGGATGCACGGGGCGGGGCCCCGGACATGCTCCCAGCGGGAGCCTTCTTCCTAAGAACTCCCAGGGAACACCTTTCTGAAAAGACGTCCCGCTGAGCTCAGGACCGCAGAGCTGCCGCCCCCCCCCCCCCCCCCCACCACCACTGACCACGCGCTCGCGGCTCAGGGGTCCCACCGGCTCCCATGGCCGCTCACAGACACGCTAGGGACTCACTTAGTCGTCTCATGTTTTCCGTCAACCTAAGAAGGAGGGAGAGAGAGAGGTGAGCACCAGCTCCTGTGCCCTGTGTCCCCGCTGCCCCCACCACGGAGCTCTGCTGGCACGTGGGGAGCACAGTGTGACCGGGGATGCAGGGGCCACGCCAGGGGCCACGTCACCACTGCTCCCTAACTTGGGGTGGGGGCGTCCTCACCTACAGAACCATCCCTGGTCTCCCGCCCACGTCCCCAGAACCTGAGTTCCCCAGAGCCTACAACACGGCCTGGCACAGGGAGCGGGAAGGCCTGGGTCGTGGGCGCTGGGCCCCCAGACCACCGTCCCCACACGGCGTGGGTCACAAAGCACAAGTAGGAGTGCTGAGCGGGGGGACGCGGCAGTGCCACCCGCCATGGAGCCCTGCCGGCTGCCCTCGCCACCCCAAGAAGGCCCCTCCCCCAGGAAGGAGGCCCCGCCCCCGGGAAGG